AATACATGTATTTTTGACAAAGATATAATCAAGACAAAAATACAATCAAAAACAGTTAAGTGCATATATTGCACTGTAAAAATATTCATTCACATTCACATCTTTTTCTATCAAATTATGAGCAAAATCTAATTTTAGTTTTACAATCAAAGAATCACATAATTATTTTTATATCTATTATCATTACTCCTATCATAGTTATCATTCATATAATAAGTAAACATTAGTAACAATTATAGTGAGGAGTGGGATGATCATTATATATATATATATATATATATATATATATATATATATATATATATATATATATATATATATATATATATATATATAAATAAGGAAAAGGTTAACATAATAACATGATAATTAAAAACAACACCTAAAACAATAACAGCAACTAATAATGAAATGACAAACATATGTACACATCAACAAATACGTAAACAAGTTTCACCACATACCAGAACAGAACTCTGCAATGTAAGTGTGCTCCTTGCAGAATTTGGCCCTTGCATCATTCTGCATCACATTGGGATCAGGCATAATTTTCCTGCCTTTCACTGCAAAAGCATCAAACAGAAGTTAGCAATTTAGCTGCTTCAAACATACAAAGATATTCTTTGCTTACAAGTCCAAGAACATTCTTGCATATCCTATGTTTTCTTGTTTATGAAAAGAAACAAAAGAACAAGATGTAACACACACTGAGCTCAAAATATATTAACTTCATGTAATATTCCTTTACACTAAAAAAATATTGTCCAATTCAATAAATAATAATTTCTGGCTGTAGTACTTTTTACAACTTTAATCTAAATCAATGCTTATACACAAAAAGTTAATGACAGATGAACTTACACTGCCTTGGCACACAAAAGTGTTCATCAATAGGAGACCACAATCCCCCTTTGGAAGGTTTCAGGGTCTCGTAAGGGGAAAAGCCACTTATGCCCCGCTGTGTTACCGTGTACCACTGATCCCGAAACTGCAGGTTCTGGATCTGGCTACTCCCTGATGGAAATTTATAAGAGATAATTCAAACCAAACACCAACTCTATCTCACACCAAAATACTGGTCCATTCAAAAACTAATTTTGGCATTCAGTTCTTTTTCATGCTTGTTGATGGCACAAGCAACTCAGACTTTGTCTAGCAGATGTGAACTGCATTAAATATACCTCAGAGCATTCAAATGCTATATATATATTATATATATATATATATATAATATATATAATATATATATATATATTATATATATTATATATATATATATATGTAGTATATTTATTGTGTTATATAGTAATAATATGTATATATATGTATATATATGTATATATTATGTATATATATATGTATATATGTATATATATATGTAATATATATATGTATTTATTATATATATATATAATATGTTATATATGTATATATGTATATTGTATATATATTATATATATTATATTATATTACATATATATTATTAATATATGATATTTATTATAGATTAATATGTATATATATATATACATATGTATATATATACATATCATTA